TATCATTTTTCCATTCCAGTATAGCTTTGGCGACTGCTTCTTTCTCCGCTTCAGCTTCGAGAGGAATAAGCACGCCGTCATCGTCGTCCAAATAACCGTAATACTAAAAACATAAACACACGCTGCACAAACGAACCAAAGAGAAAACAGATCAACGTACTGAAGCATCAATGCTGCGGACCAATTCAGAGCGACTTTTCTTCTCTGGTTCAGAAGAGGGTTTCTCAAACAATTCCCTCACTCCGGGCAAGTCCTTGGCAGCACCGAAATACTTATATCCACGATTGCCTGGAATTTCTCTTCCATCCCTGTCCAGAACTTTTGGAGCGATTCTTTTATAATCCGGTCCACCCAATTCCCGTATTCGCACTTCCCACTGATACTTTGTCCGAAGCAGTTTGTTAATTTCATCGTTTACGTCCCTGATCTTGTATTCGCCAAGTCCAGGATTTTGGATCTGTGCAATCTTCTTCGCTATCTCGCGAATCACATCCAATCTCCACTTTTCTGCCTTCCTCAAATCATTGCATTCCGACGCTACGGCCGGTCGTCGATCAACCGGGCCCCGTTCCTCCTCGAGCTTCATGCGGCGCCACCGGGCCAACGCTGTCATCGCTTTTTCAGCGTTTCGAGCCATTTTTAGCAGCTACATTACAAAAGTTCCCGTGTAAAAATAAACTTTAAATAAGGGTTGCTGGACAGCATCCCAATATAAAACTTTCGAGCGTACAAAACAATAATCTGAAACAATAATCTGCAATACAACGAAAATGCATGATGGTCACAGTCTTAAAAGAATTAACACTGTACATAAATGACAGTTGAAAAGCAGGAAGAAAAACAAGGCTATTTCTATAATATCCCTGACGAACGCGGACGCACGCATGCTTGGGAAATCAAAAACAGGCTCGAAAATTGGAAGAGACGTCATCACTCAAACCTCACCACATGGAACAACGCCGATCAAAAAGAACGTTTTGTTTACAGTTCTTTGAGATCATCACCTTGATTGATTTATATAAACGCAACTTCTCTGGCTTGCCACGAATTCACAGTTCCTCAATGCCTGTTATGAAGCGGAGGTCACTGTATCGCAGAAGGAACTATTTCTCTCCAAAAACAGAACTGCTTCAGATTTGTTCATCTATGTTCCATTCTTCTGGGAAACGCTAGGAGCTCTACATTTGATGAAACAGGGCATATCGCTTTACTACCATTCTCGTTTTTCCAATTTATTTCGTTGGAATTCGACCCGCATGCAAACCTTTCTCGACTGGAAGTGTAGCAAAGCATTTTCAATCTCTATGTGGGTAGATCTCTACTAACATCTGGTGCTGGCAGAGAATTAACAGATAAATCTGGGTGACGGGTTTTCAGTGGCTGTAAGAAATGCTTAGCCAGTCCCATAAGACGCTGCTTCTGACATACCAATGGAATACCCTTAGCGCCTTCGAAAAGGACAGACCGAGTCTTCTGTTTACCATATAACTGCCGTATCCCTCTGAACACAGTTCGCCACTCGCAGTGCCTGGATGCATTATCGATCTTAGATTTTCCCCTCTAGTTAAAGTCCCGTGACCGCCTGTAGCGCTGGTTCACAGCATGAACAAGAAGATGAACAACTGCTTTCGAGGGTGCAATATGATATTGCAAATGCTAATTCTTCACCTGATTCTTGTGTGGTCTAAGGGCTAGAATCTTTTTTAAACTCAGGGCAATTTGACTGTTCTTCTTGCGACCCTAAGTACTGACCGCATCTTTGAAGTCTTTGTAAGCTTCATCGATGTTACCCTTTCCCCTTCCCTGAGTGGGCACCTTGAATAGCATGAACATAAATCTTTACCACTTTTTGATAGGCTGACTCTGATGCTTCGTCATATTTTAGCATGTCAACATCGAGCAGCTTATGTGCTTTGACTAGACGATGTCGATGTGACAATGTTGATTACAGACAAAGTTCTGCTTTGGTATTATGTATTTACACTGACAATTTTGCATACGGTAATACATGCAGTGAACTATAATCTTAAGATATGAATTTAACTAGTACGCTATCCCTAGAAAGCTTTCTCATAAAGAAACAAATACCTGAAACAATTACACGTACAAGAAAGAAAAGAAAACGGAATCAAAAATAAATTGGAACATTAAAAAGGAAGTACCAGTAGCAAAACACAAGAGCAGTTTAACAATACAGGATGAAAAGAAAGATACAAAAAAATTCCTAAAAGAACAAGGAGAAAATAAATCAAACAGAAAGATCAAGAAAAAGAGGGAAAAAAAATAAGCGTAAAAAGAGTTGAAGCATACACAACATAAAAACGGGATAAAGTAATAGTTATAAATAAGAAAAGAAACAGCAAGAGCAAGAAGTGGAAGGAAACAGAAAGGAAAGAAAAAGCAAGGAATGGAAGAAAATGAAAAGTGCTTAGGAGTACTTGAATGACAGAGCGAAGTATAATGAATGGTAACTTCTTAGTGGTGAGAATATATCAGAGGTCGACTAAGGAGTTATAATCTTATATTTAATAAAGATGATAACGGATACGAAGATCACCACCTTGAAAGCAACCATATTCGCGGTGTTGATAAACAGATCGAGATATCAGCCGTCCTGAAGCCCTATGAAGCTCTTTTAGACAGCTTCTACAACGCTGTCTCCGCAGCATCATCAAACTGCGATAGTACAACTAGGTGACTAACGCGTAGGTACAGACGAAAACTGATTAAGAAAGCTATCAGATGAACTGCGTGGTTTGCACGGATAAAACGGTCAAAACAGAATAAAATTATTCAAATCCCTTTTTGTTGGACAACAGGAAAAATGAGTTTATCACCGCTGGAATGTCACCGTTCCTCCATCGATTCATGATGGTGTGGTGTTGATCTCCGTTTCTATTTGATCAGCCAGGAGTGACTTAACACTTTTCAAGGCAGCATTTATAGCCATGTGGCAAGCCTGTAGTGTAGTCCCCTGTTTTCTTCCACAATGGTACTCATTTATGAATCTCGGAAGGAAAAACGGCCACAGGGGCTTGAACTAAGGAGCTATCTGTTCTGAGTTCGACGCTCTACCGACTGAGTAACCCTGGTATGAAACAATCGATGAAAAATTCCTTGCTGAAAAGAATTCGCAAATAACACAAAGATTATCCTCGCGCGAAATCGAAACCCTGTACTTCTGGAGTTCAAAACAGACCTCTTAGACACTGTGCCAACATGCGACATGAAGGACAATACAACATGAAACACCTCATGGAAACAGAACTGCCTATCAACGGGAAATTA